ATACATATATATATATATATATATATATATATATAGATGAAATGTATTCATATATATATAGATATACACACGTATGCATGCAGAATAGAAGAAGAGATATGAAGAGATATTGTATTGTATTGGTTTATGTTTAGCAGCAAGAGGAGAGGTGTTTGTTAGGGTTTTGTGTTTACGAGTTCAAGAAGAAAGAGAACTCCAGCAGTGCAGAGTAAGCTGAGAAGAAGAGTAAAATTTAATCCAAATAAATAAAACTCCATCTTGTTTGTAGAACAACAGCTGCAATATGAAAGTATACAAGAACTCGTTCAGGGTGTAGAGAGGCGATGGCCGTCTGCGGTGATGCCCCCACCGGCGGGAATAAAGAGTAAAAAAAAAGCTGTAAATAGCATTAATTAAACGAATAAATAGTTTTATTTTGAATTTACATAAAAATTTCCAAAGAAGAACGCAAAAGAAGAGCTGAAACTTTACTGCTTTCTTTCTGCACGCCAGACCGCCGGCGGCCTCTTCAAGTGTATTACAGCAAACGAAAACAGACAAAAACCAAACAAGACAACACAAAAGTTTTGTTTTGACAATATTTTACGATAAATTGCAAAAAATTTTTACTTTTGTTGCTGCTTTCTTCATACAGACGCAGCACCTGCTCGCGACCGTTGGTCTGAAGCGGAGGCGTCCAGTGTACATACACCCCGTGGCGGTGGCGGTGGCGGTGGCGCGTGTTCAGGTTGATGGATTCATGAATATTTTCTTGAAATTATTGTTTTAATTTATTCAATTTACCTTCTATATGTGAATTTATTCATAAATAAACATTTAAAATACGTTTCTGCTTTCTCTAACCTACAAATTGCTCGGTGATAGCGCCCCCCCAGGGAACTCAACTGTCGTCGCCAGTTGCAGCAGAAGAACAACCAAGTCAGCACAGAGCAGGAATATAATAATTCAAGTTTTAATATTCTTTTTAATTGTTTTTTATTGGCATTCGTTGACACTCACACACGCAGAAGACTTCCTCTTCACGTTTAGCTATTGATCGGGGTAGTAGAACAGGCGGACACGCACAGACGCACTCGTGTTCTTCCTGTGTTCTCTCTTGCTTACAAAGTATTTTCTCTGTTGTTCTATATTTCAACAGTGATTATGAAAAGCATACACACACACCCTAGCTGAATAAGTCAGGTGTCAGTGCACCTTCACGCTTACGCTGAGCTCAACGCATCCGTTTTGCACGAAATACAATATGTTGCTCGCTGCTGTACGAAAGCAGAGAAATGAAATAAATGAAAATTTATA